ACATCACAGACCTATAAGCACACATACCTCCAAGGAGCCTTAGGTTAGGGGTGTGGTCCCTGAGTATTGCCCAACATTGGGGGAGGGGGGTGGCCAGAGGGTCAGAGAAAAGGAGGTAAAGCAGGACTTCCAACAGGTCATTTCTCTCTGCCCCACTCCAAATTCTTTGCTTTCTCCTCCAAGGGAGTCTGGAGGAGAAATCCCAAACCTGGGCTCATTTCCACTGCCATAAAGGAGTGGAGTGCTGGCCCCACGCCCTTCATTCCCCCCACCCCCCACCCCCCAGACTGCCTCGTTGTGCCTGATTCCAGGGTTCTAGAGCCTCAGAGGTTGCTCAAAAACCAAGCGGGCACTGGGAGATAGGGCCTGACCCCCAGAGGCCAGTTGGGTCTTGGGGTTTGACACCTGCTTGGGCTCGGATTGGGGAAGAGAGGAGGCGTGATCCAAGGGACAGGGGTGGGGAGCTTGGGTTTCAGTGGGGCGGGAGCGACCAACTGCGCCCCCTGGACACTGCAGTAAGTCTTCCTCTCACCCTGGGCCCCTTAGGAATGTAATCGAGGATGCTGGCCCTGAGGCTGCTCAACGTGGTGGCCCCCGCCTACTTCCTGTGCATCTCCCTGGTGACCTTCGTGCTGCAGCTCTTCCTCTTCCTGCCCAGCATGCGCCAGGACCCCTCGGCCGCCTGGCTCTTCTCTCCCGCGCTGCTCCACGGGGCGCTCTTCCTGTTCCTCTCAACCAATGCCCTGGGCAATTATGTCCTGGTCATCCAGAACTCCCCGGACGACCTGGACGCCTGCCAGGGGCCCTCGACCAGGAGGGCCCCGTGCCCCCCGCCCAGCACCCACTTCTGCCGCGTGTGCGCCAGAGTCACCCTGAGGCACGATCATCACTGTTTCTTCACCGGCAACTGCATCGGCGGCAGGAACATGCGCAACTTCGTCTTGTTCTGCCTCTACACGTCCCTTGCCTGCCTCTACTCCATGGTGGCCGGGGTGGCCTACATCTCAGCAGTCCTTTCCATCTCCTTCGCCCACCCCCTGGCCTTCCTCACACTCCTTCCCACCTCCATCAGCCAGTTCTTCTCCGGTGAGTGGGCCTTGGCAGGCAGGTTGGGCCCTACATAGGGACCCTCCACCCCAACCCCAAGTTTGCCAGATTTAGTAAAGAAAAATACAGGATGCCCAGTTAAATTGTAACTTCAGATAAACAATGCATAACTCTTTTAATATAAGTATGTCCTAAATATTACATAGGGCATACTTATATTATTTTTAAAATTCTGTTAACAGGGTGCCTAGGTGATTCAGTTGGTCGAGCATCCGACTCTTGATCTTGGCTTAGGTCACGATCCCAGGATCGTGGGATCGAGCCCCGAGTTGGGCTCTGTGCTGATCGTGGATTCCCTCTTTCTCTCTCTCTCTCTCTGCTCCTCTCCCCTGCTCATGCTCTCTCTATAAATAAAGAAATACATAAAGAAATATTCTGTTATGTAGCTGAAATTCAGGTTAACTGGGAATACTGTATTTTACCCGGCCACCTCCCTCTCCAACCGCCGCCCCCCACCCATCCTCATTCATCATCTCCTCCTTGTTTGCCACTGACTATTTGCTCATAGAATTGTGTGGCAATCCAGGCAGTACACTTGCTCTGTGCCAGACAGGGCTGGGTGCTGGCCATCCCTCCATGCAGTTTGTGAGGTACACCCATGCTATGACCTTCCTCTGCCTGGACTCCAATCCTGTTCACACATTCCCCCAAGGATTTTGCCTTCCAAAGGTCTCGCCAACCAACCACAGTGAGACTGACCAAGGTGCCAGGCCAGCCCCCGCAGAAGGGTAAGCCCTACCCTCCTGCCCACTAAATTTGTCCCCACCAGGCTGTTCTCTAGCCTGCAGATGGCGCAGAGCAGGGGCCACCCTGGTTAGAGACGCAGCCGTGTTTAATGGCTCCACCTTCACATCACAGTGCTGTGGCACTGGCGTGCGATTTGACCCTCCAGGGAGACTCTCACGCTTGCAGGAGCCAGGCATGTGGGCCTTCACACCAGCACTCTGTTGAGCACCCTGGTGGGGACTGTACTTTCTATAGTGTGCCCCCAAGGAGAGCTCCATGATTCCTGGCACAGAGGGACCTGGCTCCTGGCAGTTTACCTGGCCTTGAAATTCGCCCCTACCTCATTTCCTTCCATTCCATCCCTACCCTGGCCTTTGACTTCAGCTGACTTGTTTCTTACAGTTGCTAGCATGCATGTATGTGTGTGTCTGAGATTGTTATCTCCACCTCCCAGATGAAGAAACTTAGGCTCATATGGGATTGAATGGCTTGCCCAGGATCTTACTATTACTGACTAGCAGCCTCTGCCCTGCTCCCACCCCTGCTCAGGTGTTTAAACCACCCCCAGCAGCATGGGGAATCTAGCACACCATTGGCCTTTCAGGGAGAAAGACAGACATTGCAGCTACATCCATTGAGATCCCAAGATTAGTTAGATGTACCTGGGCTGGACCCTCACAAAAGTTCTGCTCCATTCTGGGGGAAGCCACCATTTTGGTCTTTGTTGGGTCTGCAGCCCGGTCCTTCACAGGAGCAGAACTGTTGTGTCCTTGGGTAGTGGGAACTCAGAAACTCAGGAAGGCCACAGCTGTGGGGTTGCCTTGAGGGCTGGTGGCTGAATTTGGCCCAGAACTTGGAACTATGGGGCCTTCTGGATCTTGGCACGGGCCTAGGAGGCTGCTGGGACCAAAATAACCAGACCGGGGGAGGGGAGGTGGGCGGGCTAGGGGGTGGAGTGTGAGCACAGACAGGTGGAGGGATGAGGAGAGCCAGAGAGCCTGATTACACTTTCTTTTCCAAGTAGCATCATCACATCAGAATGAATGGTTCCAAAGGGAGGATCCTGAAATGGTTTGATTTGAGATAAGCCTGGGCTTGAGGCCTGTCCATATGTGCTAGGTTTGGGAGACAGGATAGAAGGGAAGAGGGGCTCTTACTTTGATCTGGGGGAGAACAGAGCCAGTCAGTGACTACCTTGGGGCCCAGATCCTTGTTGCAGCACCCCTTTTTACCTCCTCCCCATACCCACTGGGAAAAGGGGGCCAAGGTTTCTAATCTCCAACTCTCCCGTCCTACCCATCATCCTCCTTTGCTGACCTTCCTTCTTCCCCCTCACCAGACCTTCTCCCTCCCCACCCACACATGCACCTGACCCCATCAGTGTCTCCCTTCCTATGTCTTCTCCTTCTATTCTCAACCCGAATGGTTGCGGGCACACCCTCTCTCATCTGCTCAGGGGGGCAGGTGGACAGGAGGGAAGAGGAGGGGATAAGCTGTTTAATAGATTGAGCTGTCCACAACTGTGGTACCGACCTGAGTCAGATCTGCCACAAGAGCACAGCATGGCTGGGAGTGTTGGCCCTCAGCTTATGCCAAGGAGGTGGGAGACTAGCCAGTTCAATTTTGGAAGTTGTCCTTTCTTTGGGCTTCAGGGGGGTTGGTACAGGTTGTGTCAGCCCTCTGAGTCTCAGTCCTCTTATCTGGGAAATGGAGATGACACCATCTGACCTGTGTCATTGGGATAAGTGTGCCAGAGTGGTGGGTGCCACCAGAAAGTCCAGTAGAAGGGAAGGGGGACTAGCATTTGCTGAACACATAGTATGTGGATTATCACATCCATTTTAAAGGCTCAGGAGCCAAAAGCTCAGCAATGTTAAGTTGCTTCCAAACCACACGAGTGTGACCCCAACCCAAGATTTGGACTCAGAGCTGCTAGCCTCCAGAGCTCATACACTTTCCACTGCACCACACTGCCTCTGGAGCTGCTTCTTGATGAACGGGCTACTTTGGGTGGAAGAGAGGTTCTTGTCCCTGGCTGTCTATTAAAGATGCTGGGTGATGATCTGTCAAAGGTGTTATAGATGCTTGGTAGGAAGCAGAGATGGAAAGATTGGATGGTGTGACCAATCAGGCCCTTTAGGAAAATTCTGTGATTTTCTAAAAGAAGAACTATTATTAAATAATTCAGAGGAGCTGAGGCAGCTAGGCTGAGCAACTTCAAACACTTCAAGAGAAAGCAGGTCCCCAGAATAGCCTTTTGTAGCTGCTGCAAGGGGCCAGAAAAAGGCCACGAGGTCTTTTCCTCATGTCTTGATTTAGTGCCAGAAAAAAGCCTATGGAAAACAGCTTCCATCAACTCAGGCTTATCCTTGCGGCTGAGTTGCAAGGCAGGCCCTGCACTTGACAGCTCTGATGTTCTCACATCACAGCTCGAGGGCCATCTTTGCCTGTCAGCATTCCTGGAGCCTGGAGGGCACCATGGTCCCGGGATCCTTCATCCTGCACGTGGCTGCCTGAGCTAACCTGTGCTGACAAGGAAGAAGTGGGTCAGAGGAATGGAACAGCCCTATGTAAGCCCTGTCCCACTGCCGCCCCCATGCCAGCTGAGGGGCTGCTCCAAATGCCAGCTGGAGTGAGCTCTCCATCCCCTGGGCAGCTGGACTTATTTGTCTCCAACTTTGCAAGGAGAAACCTTTCAAAGCTCCTGGGGCTGAGGGCAAGACGAGGCTGTTAATGAGCAAACCTGAATCTGGCCCACATCCTCCTGGCTGTGGAGTCCACCGCTGCTCAGACTGGACATATTTAAAAGCCCAACCCTCGAGGGTCTGGAAACTGGGGACTGGGGAAACCAGGGAAGTGGTGGGTTGGAGCCAGGGGAATGCTGGAGAAGAAGGATATGGTTGAGATTTGCAGAGGCTGAATAGACTGTAAGGTGGGGTCTCTGGAACAGACACCCTCATCTCCTTGGAAGGGGTGGAGGTTGGCTTGTGCTGCAGGGAGAGAGGGGCTGAGGAGGGCTTTTGAGTTCTCTCCTGGACCCAATGCCCTAGCTGCTAGGCAGGTCAAGGTAGGTGTCTCTACCATGGCTGCCAAAGCTGCAGCCCATCCAGGACTCAAAGTCCTGGAAAGAAGGAGAAAGCTGGCTGGTCTTGGGAGTTAAATGTGAGCCCTTCTTGGATGTAGTCTCCTCATCTATAAATGACCCTCATCAGGGAGCACTGCACGGAGTGTGAACCAGAATGCTGGTCACTTTGTACACCATTTCCCTGAATCACGCAACCTTATGGAGTCATTGTTATTATGCCCATTTTACAGATGAGCAAACTGTAATTTGGAGAGATTAGATAATTTATACAAGGCCACAGAGCCGGGAGAGTCAAACTTAGCATAGATTGACCACCCCAGTTCTGACGAAGAGTGTGGGATCTCTTATTCAGTGGATGTTTAAAACCAATGATAGACAATGCTAGTTTGGAGGGGTTTGGAGAGGTCCTGCCCAAGGCAGGGAGCTAGACTGATGATCTTGGGGGCCTCTTCCAGCCTTAGCAGGCCCTGGCTGACAGCTCTGGCCAAATGTTCTCGTGGCCATACTGTCCTCTTGTTAACATTAATGACTGAATTATTTTCTAAGTGAGCGCTCTGCACTGCCCTTGGAGCTTGTGACTTCTTCTTGATGACTAGGCCCTGTTCTCCATCATGCTGTCATTTTCCAGAGTCCTCCCCGCCAGTGTTACCAGTTCTGTAGGGAGATGGGGCTGCAGTCAAGGCAACTGCCCAGGAGCCAGCTCCCTCCCTTGCATCCTCAGCTCACCCCCCTCTGCTCCTGAAAAAACACCTTCTCCCTGTTTCCAGATCACAAAGAGAAGGTAGAGCAAGACGGCGTCTCTGATCCTAAGGAAATGGTGGCATCTAGGCACTGCCAGGATAAGAAGCTACCTTCTCTTCTCCCCCACGTCCCCCCAGTTCTCCCCTCTCACTTCAGAAGCCGTGGGCACTAAGAAAAAGTTAGGGCAACTAGTTCATCCTTCCTTCCCTCGCTGCAGCGCTGAGATTGCTACAGCATATAGCTTCAGTCTCATTAATCTCCCTCCTTCCCTAGTGGAAAGCGCCTGCATGGATCGCAGTTCAGTACGTGGCCTGGGTGTAAAGCGGTTCTGGTCTTTCCCCTCCCCCCTGCAGGAGCTGTCCTCGGTTCTGAAATGTTCGTCATCCTCATGCTCTACCTCTGGTTTGCTATCGGCCTGGCCTGCGCGGGCTTCTGCTGCCATCAGCTGCTGTTGATCCTCAGGGGGCAAACCCGCCACCAGGTGCGGAAGGGGGTGGCGGTGAGGGCCCGGCCCTGGCGCAAGAACTTACAGGAGGTCTTCGGGAAGAGGTGGCTGCTGGGCCTGCTGGTCCCCATGTTCAATGTTGGAGGTGAGAGCTCCAAGCAGCGTGACAAATAGCAGGCATTCCCATCATTTCTGTGTGTGTGTCTTAACTCCTCCTGAACATAAGACCGTGGCACTCTTGTCTCCGCCCATGACCCAATACAACCTTGAGCCAGTAAGGTCCTAGCATCCACCCCTGGTCTGTGACATATAGAGAACAGCGTTGGCTGGTGGATTGTGGCGAGAAGGAAAAATGGCCACTCAGGCATTGCTAGGCTCCCAAGAGCCAGCCAACTGCTAGGAGGCCTCTGCTTTTGTTCCTTCCCCCCTTGGAGCCCCTGCTTTCCCCCTCTGCTGGGCTCATCCACTCTCTCCCATGTCTCATGTCATCACTGCTATTGGCTAGAGCTCTTCCTCTCAGACCCATATTAGGATGGAGAGTGGATTCTTGCTGTTGGTATGATGCTCCCAGGACCTAGAGGTAGGCAAAAATGTTTAAAATTACCATGTGTGAGAGATAGCCAAGTCAGCTCTGCCAACTGCTAGGGAGGTTGAAACAGGAGAGGTGTGTTCTTATTCTCTCTGTGGATTTGTGAGCAGTGGAAGGGAAACTCAGGAGCTTACTGCCCCACCCCCAAGTTGCAAAGCCTTTTCTCTGGGAGACAGCAGCCAATGGCCTGGATTTTCTAGGTGCTGTGTCTGTCCATCTTGCTCCATATGGCCACCCCAGCCCAGTCTGGGACCTGCCTTGATGCTTCCTTTCCTTGGCACTCTTGTAGCTTTCTCTCTGATGTCTAGTCTTTGGGGTTTTTGTTAGATGTTGGGAAGGCAAAAAGGAAGGAAGAAGGAAAGGAGAAATACTGATAAATGGGAGAAGCATGTGGCTGCATGACCATACAGAAGGGGACGTGTGCATGTGTGTGTGTGGGGGGGGTGGTGGTGAGGAGTGTTGTGAAATTAGAAAATGCTTAGAGGAGGGGAGGAGAGAGGTCACACAGAGGCTGGGCACTGGGATATTTGGGAGATGAGAATGAGAGGGGAAAATGGGCTCATTTCTGAAGGACATTCTAGCATCTAAAGCTGTTCAGAATTTGAAAAGCTGCCTGGGGAAGTAAAGAGTGTCCCACTGGAGGTATTCCAGCAGGGACTGGTCAGTCATCTGGCAGGCATGCTGTGGAAAGAATTTCTGCACAGGGTCAGGAAAGGGAGGATCCTTTCCCACCCCCAAGAGTCTAGTGACTCTTGTGACTGCCAGGTCCAGAGGCAAGATCTGTAGAGATGCCTGTGAATTATTTGCTTTCACGAAGCAGGAAGAAGGCATGGAAGGGTCTGAAAATCATAATGCAAACCTTCAGGACCCTACTTTGCCACTGAGGAGGGGTCTCTGGTGAGACAGGACAGACTGGGTGTTAATGCTAGCCGAGGGGGTTGGCATTTGAGGAAAGGGAGATGGAGCAGTGTCAGGAGCAGGTAGGGGCCGTAGCGGGAGAGCAAGGCTGGAAGGTCAGGCAGTTGTGAGGCCAGCCTTGGTTATCTAATTGGCTCTGGATGGGGGCACTGCTCTGTGTTCTGGGGCCCAGAAGATCAAACCTCTGGGGCATATTTGGGAGTGGGGACAACACAAGTGCCCCTTCTGACTGGATCCCAAGGCCAGTCTACCACCCGTGCAGGCAGCAGAGCTGAAGCCCACACCCTACAGTGTCCAGCTGGCGGCCGCAGGCACCCCAAGCATTGTCACACAACAGTATGAGTTCTTGAGCAGAGCTCAGGAGCACTTTACCTTGGTCCTGCCTTCATGCCCCCTACAGGGCTAATGTAGTAATGGCACCACTGGCTCACACTCCCTCCCATTTTCATTCATTCGTGCATCCTACATATATTTCTTGAGTGCCAACTCTGTGCCAAGTCTCTTCCGGGCACCGGTATACAATGATGAACAAGGCACACTTGTTGTAATGAGCACTGGGTGTTATATGTAAGTGATGAATCACTAGATTCTACTCCTGAAACTAATATTACACTATATGTTAACTAACTGGAATTTAAATAAAAACTTGAAACAAACAAAAATGATGAGCAAGACAATAAAATCTCTGCCATCAGGGGCATCTTGTCCCTACCCCCACCCACTGAATCCCACCCCTTGGAAAATGGTTACTCTGCTATCTTGGTGTCAGCAGGGCAGGTCACTTGGAGGGGAAGGATATTGCAGAGAAGGCTGAAGAGGAGCCGGGCTGGCTGGATGAAGGAATCATTGGGGAGCATCTTCACCCCCTACTTCTGGCCATACTGAAAAAGTGGGAGTGGAAGGGGAGGGAAGAGATTCCCTGGGCAATCCAGACCTTGCCTCTTCCCTGACTGCAGAGCTCAAGCTTGGAAGCTAGCCATGCCATTCCCAGCCTCCTGGAGGCTCAGCACTGTGAGACTTGACATGGGGAGAGGAACTAAAAGGGAGACCTGCAGGAGTCGGCTTCTGGCCGATTGGTCAGTGGGTGGTGACGGTGGGGGGGAGGGGGTTGCCAGGGGTGGGACTTGAGTAGCATTTGTACACATGTCCCTGTATTGTTGATGAAGAACATCAATAAAACATGTGGTGTTAAATTGGATTTGATGTGATCACACGGGCACTGTGGTTGGTAGCAGGGCAGGCAAGGCTGGAATGCACCGACACAGTCAAACAAGCTGTTGAAATATTTAAGGTAAGTATTAAAAATACTTCTGTTCTAGTAGGTAAGTAACCATTGTCCAGACTCCCTGAGAACCCACTCCTGCTGCCCCAGCTGCTCCTGTTCCTCCCCTGGACTCCTGGCTAGCTTCAAAATCCAGCAATGAAAAGGGCAATGCCTGTTACCTGCATGGAACCCTCAGGAGTTTATTCCAACCCATCAGCCAGTGTCCTTTGTGACTGGTCAGGGTTTGTGCTGTGTGGCTGGTAAATGTGTGGATACCACCCCTTGTTGGTAGCAGGTCTATGTGCTGGGATCATGGACCCATGGGGGCCAGGGGTAGAATGTGTAACGTAGGAACTTTCCTCTTCCTCCTCCCACTCCTTCCCATGTCAGAGGACAGGTGGGGAGAGAATGAAGAGGAGAAGCCACTTGATCCTCCATCACAGGTAGAGCTGACTGCCCCCTGAGGATCATCCAGGGCCCCCTGACCTCTTAGCCCCTACAAAACTTGAAGAATTCAGGCTGCCCAGTCCTGAGGGCAGCTGAGAGTGGGTTAAACCCTGCAGGGAGGGAGTGGTCCCTGAGCAGATGAATGGGCATGACCTCTGATGCATCCTAAAGATGAGCAGGCCTGGACTAGTAGAGGCACAACTACAAAGTGTTAGTTCTTCTTGGGCTGTTGAAGAGCCTTCAGCCTAGGCCAGTGTTGTATATAGGTCTGCGTTCCCTGGACACATGCCAACGAGCAACCAAAAAGGCAGACCCAAGATATGCCGGCGGTGGGGTGGGGAGGGGATGAACGGAGCTGTGACTAATCTTCAGCACATTGTAGAGCATGGGCTGTCTACACTCCATGGGGCAGACACACCTGCCTTTTCACCATTGTATCCTAAATGCCTAGCAGGGGCTAGGCATATAGTAGGTGCTCAGTAAATATTGACTAAATGAATGCTTAGATTTTGTGCTCATTTGTTCACTCCACATCTCTTCTTTGCTGTGCACACTGTGGGGCTGGAAGACAGATGAGACATCACTGTCCTCCAGGGGTTCACATCCTGGGAGAGGTTGTTGGGAAGCCCCAGAAGAGGAAGAGAGCATGTCCAGCTGTAGGGACCAGGGAGCTTCCATGTGTGCAGAGCTTGGAGGAATGGATGAGATTTGAGAAGGCAGACATGGATAAGAAGGCTTTCCAGGAAAAGGGAACTGGCCTGGAGCCCTGGAGTGATCATGGGATGGTGAGCATAGCGGCCATCATGGAGAAGCAGGTGGAATTAAATCTGGGAGTTGAGAAATCCTTATCAAAATAACACCAGCATTCTTCACAGAACTAGAACAAACAATCCTAAAATTTGTATGGAACCAGAAAAGACCCCGAATAGCCAAAGCAATCTTGAAAAAGAAAACCAAAGCTGGAAGCATCAAAATCCCGGACTTCGAGCTACATTACAAAGCTGTAATCATCAAGACAGTATGGTACTGACACAAGAACAGAGACTCAGATCAATGGAACAGAATAGAGAACCCAGAAGTGGACCCACAAAATGTATGGCCAACTAATCTTTGACAAAGCAGGAAAGAATATCCAATGGAACAGAGACAGTCTCTTCAGCAAATGGTGCTGGGAAAACTGGACAGTGACATGCAGAAAAATGGATCTGGACCATTTTCTTACACCATACACAAAAAGAAACTCAAAATGGATGAAAGACCTAAACGTAAGACAGGAAATGATCAAAATCCTCCAGGAGAAAGCAGGCAAAAACCTCTTTGACCTTGGCCACAGCAATATCTTACTCAACACATGTCCAGAGGCAAGGGAAACAAAAGCAAAAATGAACTACAGGGACCTCATCAAGATAAAAATCTTCTGCACAGCAAAGGAAACAATCAGCAAAACTAAAAGGCAACCAGGGAATGGGAGAAGATATTTGCAAATGACATATCAGATAAAGGGTTAGTATCAAAAATCTATAAAGAACTTATCAAACTCAACACCCAAAAAACAATCTAGTGAAGAAATGGGCAAAAGACATGAATAGACACTTCTCCAAAGAAGACATCCAGATGCCTAACAGACACATGAAAAAATGCTCAACATCACTCATTATCAGTGAAATACAAAACAAAACCACAATGAGATACCACCTCACAGCTGTCAGAATAGCTAACATTAACAACTCAGGCAACAACAGATATTGGCGAGGATGCGGAGAAAGAGGATCTCTTTTGCACTGCTGGTGGGAATGCAAACTGGTGCAGCCACTCTGGAAAACAGTATGGAGGTTCCTCAAAAAATTAAATATAGCACTACCCTATGCCCAGCAATTGCACTATTAGGTATTTATCCAAGGGATACAAGCGTGCTGTTTCAAAGAGGCACATGCACCCCAATGTTTATAGCAGCGC